CTAAATACAAATTGAAAGTAAAGGTTATAAATTGTATCAGGTTGCACAAGGTGCATAATAGAACTTAGTGGGCAGAATAAGCTAAAACTTTTATAATAGTTATATTTTAGAATTTTTTACCCAAATTAAAGGCCGGCTCATGAACGCTGGCGTCGGAAGATAATAAATTGATTCAAAAACTCAACTATGTATTTCCGAAGTGTGTTATATTGTATTGCATACTCTTACTTATTGCTTTTAATCAAAATTCTTAAGGTTCGTTCAGACGGTGACATCTAATTCTGTGACAGCTTTCGATATTCGATGTCATGGCACTAGGTGTTGACACTCGCCAACACATAGTGTCGCGACAGACTTGTCAAAACACTCCTGCCGGCAGTAGCGGATATGTTAGAAGTAATTATTTTGAAATTGAGGCGGAAATTTAAAAAACTAATATGGATGAGACAGTGATTAAGGGAATTACAATTAAAAGACTCTAAGTCTTTTGGCACTTTTCTCAACTCAGATTCGAATTTTTGATTTTCGACAGGAAGGTACCTGTACCAGTCATCATAGATTTCTTACTTTTCGAAATTCATTATTATGCATGCCCCGAATAGATCTAATTTTAGCTCTTAACTTTTTCAAATATATAATAATATATAGAAGCGCTACTTCTGCTTGGGTACGTTTTTGTCTATCCTTATAATCGGCAATTGACTTATCCCATGTCAAAATGTCACCGAGACATCGGCAGTGTCACGATGTCGCTGCGCCGTATATCAAACAATTTTGATGTTACACTATGACATTGAGACATTCGGTGTACGGACAATGACATTGTTATGGAATTCATGTCACGACATTAATGTCACCATGTGAACGAGCTTTTACTCACAACCTTGTCATTCTAGTGACGGGTTTGTGATACATTTTGAGTCAAAAAATCGTTCAAGTCATGCTCCTAGAGCTCGAACGAAAATTGTTTAAAATTTTCGTCTTAAAATAGTAGATGATAATTAACCCTAAAATAATGAAAAGTCGAAAATATGCTCAAAACTAGCTATCAAGTTGAAACATCATAGTTAAATGTCTAAGTTTTTGCTATCCGCTCACTTGATACCTGGGTACCGTCAGCTAGCAACGCTACTGATCCGACCGCTACCTTGATCAATTTATTCAAGTCCACCTATTGGTGACGTTAGAGACTATTTAATTTTATATTTAAACTCTTCATTGTGCATAGTTTCTTAATGTTCTCAAATTTTTATAACGTTTTTACATCTATTCGATTGAATTCAAAAAAAGTTATTTAAGAAATCAGCGTAGGATTATTAATTCGTTTTTTGCGAACAAATATTGTTTGAAAATACTTCTAGCTGATTTTTTACCGGCGTTTGGCGCTCAATGTATATACTTTTACTGGTGTATTGTATAGCAATAATTTATTTAACGTTATCGTACTCCTTATACCAACCGTGTAATAGAGTGAATCCATAGATGAATACGGATGATTGGGCTAACTAAACATGATAATTTAAAAGCAATTCCAATTTCTGTGATTTTTTAATGTGTGATTGCCTGAAACCGCACTTAGTGTTATTTTGCTTTATTTGCCGGACTTTTAGATTTCTGATTTATTAAATAGGTAAGGTTTATTTAGAAATTATACTTGTATCGTACCATGCGAAAGGCAAGGATAATTTTAAATTACAGGGACATTCATGAACACTTTATGTATTGTTATTAAGGTTTATATTATTATTTTCAGTACCTAATATATTTACGATATGCAAATTATATAAATTTATTGTAATAAACAATGTAAATAAAAAACGCATTATTTTTTCAAGTGATAGTTTATGGCCAATCCAAAGTACCAGACGCAACAAAAGAAGCTTTACTTCATTAAAATGTAGTAAAAGGTTTAGTCGCCCATGTCTCGTAAAATTCGACCCAACTGGAGTAGTATGGGTTCTTTGGGTTGTTTCGGATTTGCAGCTGCGCTCCGATGTTCAAGTACTTTGCCTCATTTTCGGTGAACATCGGCCAGGTAACGTTCTGCAGTAATTCAGACAACTCAGGAGTTGGGTTTCTACAACATGATGATAATAGCATTAATGTATTGTCAGAATAAACGGTTCCTTTGCCATTTAATCATTAAAACTTCCTATCTGACTTACAAATATTTAACAAAGTTTGTCCATAACTCGATTAGCCTGTCGTGGGTGAGAATATCGCTTGTAGGAAACTTGGACAAATCCGCATTGGAATAGCTGGAGTCAACTTTTTTAAATAAGTATCTAGGGTCTTCGGCATGATCAACACTATCAGCACCTAAAACGAACAAATAAATCGGACGGAAAGTTCAAGCCAGCGGCGAATAAAGTACCTTTTATTGTAACATTAACATTTCCCATGATACCATCATAGGAAAAGACGTAGAAATAAACATCTGTATAGTTTGAAGCCAGGTTTGCATGCTTTATCATGGGATTGGTAAACGTAGTATGGCTTAAAAACTAATAAGACCGGTTAATTGACCATGGTTTTTGTCATTTTTGTCAAACATCTTGCGCTCTATGCTAATGTACAGATACACACCCGAACCATATGGCCCATTTGTTCGTCTTCTGGAACACCATCCAAATAAAGATTTCTGATCAGCTTTGCAATATCCGATCGATTGAGTGAATCATTCACAATGAAGTCACTGGGAATAAAATTTTCAATATTGGATTCATACTGGTACAGCGTCTTATTAAGCTTGTTCAAATCTAAAATGTCGGGTTAAATCAGAAATTATCTAAGCTCAAACATTTTCGCACCTGCTGCTCGATGGATTTCTTCTTCAGAGTTAGTACCGATTAGGGTCGGAACGCGAATAAAATTTCCGGTTTCCAACATACTGTACTGATTCTCGGTTAGAAAAGCCGCATCATGGACAGGCTCCTTTACTGGTAATGGGGTCTGGAAATGTTTATAATTATGAAGTTGCTTGGAATGAATAGGTCCAAACCGTTGCTTGTTCAGAGTTACAGAAAATTTTAATAAATACGGTGCGGTACAAAAGTCTGGAAAAATCAAGTTTTTCAATCCTCCTACGCGACTTGTATGATTATTTGGTCTTGTGTTAATCAAGTCTCGTAATGCAATGCTCAATACTTCTTATTTTTTTAACAAATTTTGCTTTAAATATATTAGAATCCATCGATATTCGACAATTTGACCAACAATAGCACGGTATTTGTCCTAAACCCGCACTCGAGGCGAACATACAGGGTGATTTTTTAGTGCGATAGAGTCCATTGTTTCCGATGGTGTTGAACTTTCGAAAAATATTTTCATATAAAAGTTGTTGACGCACAAAGTGCGCACATTAAAAAAATATCTTATATGATACAGAGTGTCTCAGAAAAGCGAGGCAAGATCAAAGTGTATTTTTTTAAATAGAACTACCCATTTTTCATTAGCTCATGGAATGCAGCTTAAACGCTGCATATGCACCGTAAATTGTTTTTTTCTTACTTGCGACGTTGGCAGATTATCGCCATTTCAGTAAAATTTTACCTAAAAATTCATTGTAGAAGCAAAAAAAAGCATTTAAAGATACAAAAAAATACGTATTTCCAATCACCACCGATCCGTTAAGAATTGCATTGCATTAAGATGTCTTCAAAGAAAAGAAGCTGTTGTTAGATTGAGAGATAGAGATTCGGATTGCGAGACTGATTATTCCAGACTTTTGGAGCACACTATATGTTCTTGCCGTTAAATTATTCGATGCGGCATGCAACGATTCAGCGTCGACGTCTTGTAGAAACTGCAAAAGTCGTTGGGAATCGTTGGCGAACTCTGTAGAGTCTGTTAGTAGACTTCCTAGATCAAAGGCATATTGCCTGGCTTGAGACGAGTTCTGAAAACTCCAGATGCTTAGTGGACTTCCGCTTTCTAAGATGGCTCCCCGAATCAAACCTGCATATCACCCGCAACATGAAAAAACGCTTAGAAGCCCATGGGGAAATACTACCTTCATTCCCTTTGTATAGGAGCTGGTAACCGACAGATGATGCTCCAGCACTTTGCCCTGCCAGAGTAATTTTGGCAGGATCGCCACCAAATGATGCAATATTTTCAAATGTCCACTTAATCGCTGCTGCTTGATCTTTGTGACCAGCATTTCCAGGAACTGTCAAGTCCCCAGTTGATAAGAACCCAAACGGACCCAATCTAGCGGGCAAGCAAGAGTCAAAACGCCCTTTTTCTCATAGCAAGTGGATAAGGCCTACCTATAGCTCACCGTCACAATTACAATGTCCTTTTCTATGAGGAAATCGGGACCAAAGTTACTATAAAGTGCGTTTCCATGAGTGTATCCACCTCCATGGATCCAGACCAGCACTGGAACTGGACTCCCTTCGTCCTAAATGAATGAGTTGATATTTGCATAAAACGTGCGACTTGTTCACTCACATTTGTCAATATCGGCGTATAAACATTCAGATACAAGCAGTCTTCGCTCTGGGAACTCGTATTGGAGCCAATGGCATAACAAACGTTTGAATCTTGTGTAGCATTCAGCACTCCTTCCCATGGTTCACGGTTTATTGGAGCCTATAATTTAGGTAGGTAGTAAATACATTTAATAGTTTCCGTCACTTGATTAGGCAATCGTTCATTAGCTTTCCACAAAGTTTGACATCAAGAGGTACCTGAAATCTGAGCGAACCGATGGGCGGTTCGGCATATGGTACACCCTGGAAAGCCCTAAATGTTCCATTTTTTGGAGTGGTCAATAATCGACCCCTGAGTACACCTTCATTGACTGTGACGAGCTCGTCGAATCCTAGCTAGCAGTTAACAATTAAAGTGAGCTCCTGGAACTTTTGGTGTTACTTACAGTTGAATGTAGTAGATGCAAGATCAGGAACTGTAACAAATGTCGACTCCCCATCCCGTACGGTTTACGTCAGTCAGTAGGTAACATATACTGCTGTTAGAAGTACAGTGTTTTATAGCAATATCAGCTCATAGATAAGACTGAAGTGATTTAAGCGAATTTTGAGACGCGCTTCGCAGTCAAGTTGGATAATGAGAGCTTCCCAACTAAATTCAACAGCTATGTAATGAGAGATTACAACGAGGATGTATTTTGCTATTTAAATAATTATATACCTAAGTTTCCGACCCTACAATTTTTTTGCTGAATATTATTTAACGCAGAAATCAATTCAATTGAAATTGACCCAAATATAACGCGGCTTTTTTCGAAGTTTCTCAAGAACCATTTGAGCCACATAATTCGTTTTGGCATCTTTGGAGAGAGAATTGAAAATTAATTCTATTTAGTGAAAACAAGATGAGTGAAGAAATTCGAGCAGTTTTGACCCAGAAAGCGAAATTTGAATATGATACATTTAAGTGAAAGATTGTGCCAACATTTTATGTTTTCCGTCCCGTTTTTGCTCATTTCTCGGTAGCAAAATGAGCCAAAACGCTCATTTTTAGATCATTCCAGAGAGAACTAAACGACCTTTTTAGAAAGTG